CGAATGCCTAACACTGGCCACAAAGACAAGGGAGCCCAAATCTAATTAGATCAGACAGGAGCAATTTATGTCTGGGGAACTGCTGGAAAAAAACAGAGTAATTAGCCTGCAATTAGTACATGTCATTGAGGGTGACTGTATGTATGTCCAAGGTTGTTTCCTCCGAGAAGTGACATTAGAGGATACACTCTGTGGGAGAGACAGACAACAACGACGACGACGACAAAAACCCCACTCGATCATTAAACAAATAAACAAGCAAACGACAAACCCTGGGGGCTGAGGCTCAGTACCCAGAGTTGCTACATTATCTAAAATGTCCCGTTTTCAACAACAAAAAATTGAGATATGGAAAGAAACAGGAAAAGTGTGATCCATACATGGGAAAAAAAGCAGAGATTAGAAACTTACTTTGGTGGGGCTCAGCTGTTAGACTTAGCCATGGAATGAAATCAGAAATCAATAACAGAAGGAAAACATGGAATGAAGTGGAAGCTGTGCATAGAAGGAAACTGACAGCAGTAAAAACCTACATTAAAGAGAAGATGTTATATAGACTGAACTGTGTCCCCCAAATTCACAGATTGAAGCCCTGACCCTCAATGTGATGGCACTTGGAGAGGGGGCCTTTGGGAGATCATCGGATTTAGATGAGGACCTGACGGCTGTGATGGGATTAGCGCCCTTATAAGAAGAGACACCAGACAGTGTGCACACTCTGGCTCTCTCTCTTTATGATTATAGACATAAAAAGTCTCCAATGAAATACTAGCAGAATGAATCCAGCACTCTATAGAAAGGATTATAGACCACGATGCAGTGGCATTTCTTTTAGAAATGCAAGTTTGATTTAATATCCAAAAATCAATTACTGCAATATATTGTATTAACAGAAAAAGGGAAAAAAAACATGTACAATCATTTCAATAGATGCAAAAAAGCACTCGACAGAATCCAACACCTTTTCCTTATAAAACCACTCAACGAAGAGGAAACAGAAGGACAGAAGGGAACTTGAACCTGATGAAGGACAGCTATGAAAGAACCACAGCTTACGTCATGCTTAACTGTGAAAGACACCCCAAGATCTCCTACGATCAGGAATGACACCAGGGTGTCCACTCTTGACACCTTATATTCGACATTGCACTGGAGGTTCTAGAGAGGGGAACTGGGTAGGAGAAACAAATGAAAGGCATCCAGATTGTAAAGAAAGAATTAAATTTATCTCTACTTTCAGATGGTGGTATGATCCTATATAGAGAAAATGATAAGTAATCCACTAAAAAGCCATTATATCTAATAAGTGAGTCGTACAAGGTTGCACGATACAAGATCAGTACAGAAAAATCAATTGTATTTCTACACATGAGCAATGAACCACCCAGAAATGGAAAAGGAAAATTCCATTTACAATAGCATCAAAAATACTTGGGAACAGGGCAGAAGGATGTTGGAAGAGAGATACTACAAAGGAGAAATTATTCCGACGCCCGTCAAAATGGTAAGGAAGGCTTCATTCGCGACTATAGCAATAGGGGTCAAGACTGTCACCGAAAGGGGAAGAGACTGAGCTCAACTCTGAATACAACAAGGACGAGTGGGTGATGTTAGAATTATGGCAGCATGAGACAGCCCTCCTTTTTGTCCCCCCTCCCTTAAACAACTAATTAGGCATCCATCCATGAATAAAAGTGCTACGTGGGAGTTGTAAGCTCCAGCACCATATGCCAAGGAAGCTGGGAGGAGTCTCGTCCACCTGTGCTCAGTAAGAGGCAGAAAGACCTCACGATGAGCTGTGGAACCAGCAGGGCTGGTGACCGTGCCCCAAGCCCTCTTGGCTGTGGTCAGGTTAAACCTGAGGAGTAGTGACCTGAGCAGGCACCCGGGGACGAGAGACGGTTCGTGGAGGCCAGCCTTGCTGATGGAGCAAAAACCCGAAAAACAAATTTGGATGCAATGGAGAGGGCAACCCTCCCCCAAGGTGACACAACACAGAACAGGACCAGCCGGTGCTGACCGCTCCCGCAGGGCGATAGGAGAAGAGGGAGTGAGTGCCTGGCTACCCCGCGGTGCCAAGAGCTACTGGAGAAACCTGTTTCTCTCCAGCAGCCCCGGGCACTCAGGGCTCACTTTAGAGTGCCCAGGGGGGACCTCTAGGACCTGTGGGGCAGAGGGAGGAGATGGGAAAGAGGCAGATAAGAATATCAAAGGACATTAAAGGGACCGGG